CTCCCGGCTCTCCCTCGGGGGGGCGGGGGGGACCTCTTGGGCGCCCGCATTGGGAGGCACCCCTTGCCCCTTCCCCCCACCCTTGGGTGCCGGTTGAGAGGAAGGGACGAGCGAGGGGTGGTGGAGCGTGACCGCCTGCTTCTTACGCCTTGCTTCTTTGCTTCCCTTCCCTTCTTCCAAGCCTGGAGCCGGCCAAAGCCATCAAGGCCATAGACCGCAAGTCCGTTCATCAGATCTGTTCGGGGCAGGTTGTCCTGAATCTAGGTACTGCGGTGAAAGAGTTGGTGGAAAACAGCCTGGATGCTGGAGCTACCAATGTTGGTAAGCTTCTTCTCACCGTAACTTTATCAGAACGGTGCATAATATACTTTAAGTATGTGTGTGTGTGTGTGTGTGTGTGTGTGTGTGTGTATATATATAGATATTTAAAGTATAGATCATCTATTAACAAATCTGTATAAATACTTTACATTTGGGCCAAGCAGGTTCGCTGTGGCATTATAGCTTGGATAAATAAAGCATTTAGATTCCCAGGCTCCAGCTGGGTTCATGCAAGCACATGATTTTTGCCTGTGTTACTCTGTGTAGCCCTTTTAGTGGTGGAAAGGGGTTATGTGGCCTACACAGCTAGGATGATTGGGCATGGCTACTGCCAGTACTGGCCTCGAGCTAGTAGACTGTTAGGGCGGGGTTTTGGTTTCTAGAGAACTGCCTTGATGATAACTGTTACAATTGGAAAACTTCCTTTCAGGCAAAAATACAAGGAAGACAGACTATCTGAAAGTTGAGATTGATTTGTGTTAAATTGCCCTAACTTTGGAAAACCTCTTCTCCCCCCCCCCCCCCCAAACTTGATATGGAAAGTAGTTGTCTCACAAAGTTATTTAAAATACAAAATTAATACTGAACATTATTTATGAACATACAGAATTAAATACTTTTTATTAATACAATTTGCAGATATAAAACTTAAAGATTATGGAGCAGAACTGATAGAAGTTTCAGATAATGGAGGTGGAGTGGAAGAGGAGAACTTTGAAGGCTTGAGTAAGTTGAACCTTTCTCATAACTTATATTTGGACATTCTGAAAGTATTCATGTATGTTCTTTTTTCCACCTTCCTAAGTTTAATCATTTTTAATAGCTGCTTGACGTTTATATAATGACGAAAACACCAGCACGACTTGGGCAAAACTAGACTTGACTTTTGTAGTGCTCGTGCGGTCACAGTACTTGTAGCTGAGAAGTAGTCTTTGATTTGATTGCGTATTTAAGTGGAACAAAGAATAGCCATAATTATGGAAGAGAAGGTCCTAAATGTTCATTTAGATTCATTCATGTTGAGTTGAGGGTGTCAAACTATGAAAGTAACTAACTTTGAGAAGTGTACTATAAGCTTGAATATTTGCTGAAGGTGAACTTGATGTTGTATGTTTGACTCTCAAATTTTCCATTTGCTCTTTTTAAGTCATGCAAAATTTGGGAGCGGAAACAATGCTGTATGACAAATCTAACCAGCCATCACAACAAAAGTACCCACTTCTTTTTTTCATTTAATGAATAGAGATCATTTCACCATAACTTACTCAATAACTTTATGTGGTCACGGTGTTTATATGGTACCTATGTTCCAGCACAGTGCAAGTTCAGGGGCACTGTTACTAGCTCTGTGTCTGCGCTGTGCTGAGGCTCCAGCAGAGCCTGGCAACTAGTGCTGTGCTGATAATGTTGAATGAGTCCTTGTTAACTGTGAATACAGTGGAATAAACTTACACCTGTCTACTGTATACCATGCACAGCATGGGACTGCAATTGTTTTCTTGCATGGTGACATCTCTGACAGGTACATCACTGTCTGAGACAGCTACCGTATACTCCTCTGAGGCAGGTGGTAGTGCCAATACCCATAATACTATATGCTTTGTTAATTTCTGGTGCAAGTATGGAATAACAGGTAAATCTGTGTTTTTTAAAGAGACTCCACATATAGGAAAAGGGGGATAGGAAGCGCTAAGTGTTTAATTATTTTGTCTCTGACAGTTATGTAAAATACAATGAGTTATACAGAAACTTTTTGCTCCTTGAGATGCATACCAAATCTACTTGCCTAAATTGATGTCATTGTAGACAGAAGTGAAATTATGTATTTTAAATATCTTTCTCCAGCTCTGAAACACTATACATCAAAGATACAAGATTTTTCTGATCTAATGCATGTTGAAACATTTGGGTTTCGAGGTGAAGCTCTGAGTTCACTGTGTGCATTAAGGTAATAGTATTAAACTTATTATTATTAGAAATTTACTATAAGCACAGAAATAACGGAAACCAACTTCTCAGTTTACCATTATTGATAAAATGAGGCTTTGGAAACTTCCAGTTCTGTTAGCTCTGTTTTGAGCAGTAGGTTGCATGATGACCTGATGTCCTTTCCAGTGTAAACTGTTCCACAGTTCTAAGCATCTGATTGGTCCTTTTGTATATGAAATCCAGCATTACTTATGTATGTAAGTCTCTACAGAATGGAACTCTTGTACATGCAAAAGTGTCTGATCCTCAGATGTAAAGCACTGTAACGCCTAAGTGCTGTTTAATAGTCTGTAACTCATTAAAATGGTATTTAATATCTTCCCACACAAACTATATATTTGAAATAGCACGGCTTTTTTACACGGTCCTGTGCACCGCGAATATTCTAGTATAATGTATTAGTATGAAGAATGTATTGTCCAAACAAAGCCAGGCTTCAGTGTTGCGTTTTATATCAGAAAAATGAAAGAGATGCAAATAAACATTTTCCATTTTAGTTTGGAAAACTAGAAAGACTGTTACCTCAAAACATACCTGAAGAGTACTGTATCTTTGTGGTGAAGAATTAGCTTTAATTAAAGATACACAGTATTAGTGTAATTTCTATGCCTGATTGGGTTACAAGGAGTGGAAAAGAAAACACAGTGCTCAGTGAGTAATTCTGTTGCCTCTTTTCCCTCCATTAGTGATGTTACCATTTTTACCTGTCATAAGTCTGCAAAGGTTGGGACTCGTTTGACTTTTGATCATAACGGTAAAATTACTCAGAGAACTCCTTATCCACGACAACAAGGAACAACTGTTAGCGTACAACAGTTATTCTATACTTTGCCAGTGCGGCATAAGGAATTTCAAAGAAACATTAAAAAGGTAGGTTAGATCAGAAATTATTATTTTAAAGGAGTGTGATATCACAGATTTTTTCATTACTGAATGAGAACTATTCTCTGTAGAATACATTGATAATTTTTTTTTTGTCAGACCGTTTCATGTCTATTTTGTATCTTTGTAAAATAAAAACACAACATTCCCATATGTTTTCCTTTTCTGTTTTGCAAATGACCTGATTTAGAGGTACAGTTTCAAATCTTCAGATGTTGAAAAGATTCAAGATCATGGTCATCTTTGCACGTTCTTAGATTCGTGAATGCTGTTTTGTAAATTACTTAATATTATCTTGTAAAGAAGTTATTTGTTTTTAAAGGCACTATTTTTCACATATGACTTTTTTTTTTTAAATCTGGTTTGTAAACGTTTTGAAAAGATAAACTTTTCTATCTCCAAAAGGGGGTTATATTTCATGAAAATACAGAATGTGCTGTTCAGACTTTTTTTTAAGAGACGTTTCATATAAATGTGAACATTTTTGTTTCTTTAATAGGAATATGCAAAAATGGTCCAGATATTGCAAGCATACTGTATTGTTTCAAAAGGAGTTCGTATTAACTGCACTAATCAAGTTGGCCAAGGGAAAAAAAATCCTGTGGTATCCACTACTGGAAGTCCTAGCTTAAAGGAAAACATCGGAGCAGTATTTGGGCAAAAACAGGTATTACTTACTATTGAAAAGGGAGATAATGTAGCTGGAGAGAAAGAGTTTTAAGATCTAATAATAGAGAGGATGCAGGAAACTGTTAAAAGCAGAAGAGGTTGGAGCATGTGTTATATTCCAGCACACCCTACAGGTTGAAAAAGGAGAGACAGTGTAGTCTCTGTGTTCCCCTGAAGTTTCTGAATCTGCTTCAGAATCTGAATCTGCTTCAGAATCTGAATCTGCTTCAGAATCTGAATCTGCTTAGAGGACACATGTTTTGATGGAAGAGAAATGATACAAGAGAGATATTTTAAGCATTGACCCTATCTGAAGGCAGTTTTATGAATTCTTGTCACGGCCTTTGAGAAGCGAAGGTCCTTGATCTGTGCTTTTGAAAGTCAGTATGGGCACCAGTGTCTATATGTCACAAAAACAAACAATTAAAAAAATCAAAAAAAAAAAGTTGTGATGCAGAAGTCTTAACTGGGGAATAGAAAACTGAGAGGTTGCTTTTGCAACCCTTTCCTTTGAAACTAAGTTCCTTTATTGTTAACCTTTAAATGGGAATTGCAGTCAGCTCCTGTAGAGGTATGGATTGTGGTGCCTTCTAAATAATAACTATGAAAATAATTGTTATCCTCTAGAAGAACATAGAGGAGTAAGAGCAGTAAAAACACTCTTCCTACACCCACATAGTACAACCAACAAGTATATTGAGTGGTTGATGGCTACCTGCTGGTTGTTGATAAAGCACGTCCTCCCTTCACAGTGCCCATGTAGTGATTTCAAAGCCTGTTCAGGCTGTGGCTGAAAGACCAGATGGAAGGTGCAACTTGGTATTGCCTGACAGTGACAAGCATTGCTGAAAATTCAGGGTTATCTGAATAAAATATTTAGTTTATACCCTGTTTATATAATATCAAATATCTACCAAAACAGTGGAAGGTGCTCTAACGACAGGAAAAATTAATACTGGCGTAATTGGGAAAATGTAGTAAACGTATCTGTGCTTTGATAACTTGTAATTCAAATAGCATACCTTTACTAATAGTACTAACGTAATTTAATAAGAAACTTTTATCACTCTTCTTGCCTTTTGCTATTGCATAAAACTTGATTAGGTCATATGTAGCTGGAGAGTCCAGACTGAATTGTTCATTTAACTTTTCTGTCTAAGTACGTTTTAAAATATGGGTCTATGTGAAATAATTAAATCAGAAGAAGTGATATCAAAGGATGAGAAGAGGTATTCATTAAGGCTTTGTTTCTGTGGAGGCTCTTCAGCAGGGTAACTGTTTTCTAGTAGGTTAAATTTGAGTATTGGGTAATTTGACTTACTCAGCAAACTTAAAAATAATCAGTTACCTCTGTATCAAGTTATTATTAAAAATAATACAGAATAGAAAAATATATATAAATGTTTAATAACTTCACTGTGGGTGAATAAAATTTGAACTATGTAGAAAAATAAATGGAAAGCCTTTTGTTTCAATGCATCTGATTCTAATCTTCTTGTATTAGTTGGAGTGACTATTAGAGGTGTATGTGGGTTTTTTGTTTTTTTTCCTTCTCTCAGTTGCAGAGCCTCATTCCATTTGTTCAGCTACCTCCTAATGAAACTATTTGTGAAGAATACGGACTCAACACTACTGACATGCCACAAAATTTCTATAGGTAATTAGAAAAGTAAACGCTACTGTCAGTGGCATTTTAATATAACTCAAAATTTTTAAATATATGAAAAGTATGGTGGTTAGTAGTAATAAAAATAACGGAGACCAGCACAGTGGATCATTAGTATGAAGTCTGAGAAATAACATTGCTTGGAGGGGGAAAAAAATTCAATTCAGAATTAAAATGTTGCTGGTCAGATGAGAGGGAATAGCAGAACTGGTATTCTGTATGTTCTAGCTAGTTTTAGCTTCCTGTAATCTTCTGTTGAGTTAGTCGGTTCTGTTAGTGCTCTCAGTAATTGTAATTTATGAATGAATCCTTAGTTTATGCCTGTATTTCTTCAGCTGTGTTATTGGGAAATGATATGAGATGAATGTGAATCAGTTTGTATAAATACCTTTTACTTTCTTACTTAATATATACTTTTTTTTTCCACTTGCTATACCTGAGATTTGCAAATAAGTACATCAATATCTGATTTTCAATGCCAGTTCACAGCTAACCCTTCTTTAGAGCAGAAAAACGATCACTGCAGCTTCTTTTTAAATCGGACACTGCTTTTTCTCCTTCCTGATGGACTGTTAAGAGCTGAATACCTAGGCTTTATTAGCCAAGGAACTGGGATAGGAAATAAATATGCATACTTGCTGATGCTGTATAATAGTGTTGCTTTTAGCCCCTGTAAAGTACTCTTCCCTGAAATATACTCTGACTCAGAAAAGTTTATCTTTTGACTTCCTCCTCCATTTTATCTTACCCTTATTATATTATTATCCAACAGTATCACGGGCTTTGTTTCTCGTTGTGATCATGGTGTTGGAAGGAGTGCAACAGACCGACAGTTTTTCTTTATCAACCAACGTCCATGTGATCCAGCAAAGGTGCAATTTATTTATTTTTACAGTAGCAGCACTGACCTGTTTGATATCCTCTAGAAGTCACTGGATTAGTGCTAGTGTACATGGTTTTGGCTTGATGCTGATAGTTACTGTTACTTAAAGTTTGTCTTCATTGGATCTATTTGTGTGAACGAAAGCTGAATCGTATATATTAGGATTTAGTAGGTTAGTTGTTTCATCGGGGGTTACGTAACACATGCTGGTGGGAAGTAGAAGATAGTACCCGTTTTATTCCTTTTTTTCCCTTCCCCCTGCCCCCCCCCCCCCCCCACCCACCCACAGGTTGCCAAGCTTGTGAATGAAGTTTATCACTTATACAATAAGCACCAGTATCCATTTATTGTTCTTAACATATGTGTAGATTCTGGTGAGTTTTGAATAATTTTTAGTAACTTCTGTAAAGTCTAAAACTTACTATGGATAATATTGATATTAAAAGTATTATTGAGAATATTGCAACCTTTATTTATATGAATGCTTACATATCGCAGTGTGGTGGTGTTTTTTTGATCTACAATTGCTGACGGGAAAACAGCGTCTAGCTATGGTTTCACTTTTTCTATACTCAGAAGTAACCTTAATCTCAAGTAGTGAGAAAAAAGCATTCTTGTGACTAGCTTAAATATAGGACAATGAAAAATCATGTTATTGCATGGAATTAACTACTCTTTTGTTTGCTGGAATATTGAAAGAATTAACAGCTATTTTGCAGACATACTGTGGAAGTTAACTGTTGCTTTGTTTTTAATCCCGTGAAATAAAAATGGAGGGCGAATGAGCAGAAAACCATAATCCAAGGGTGGAAAATGCAGTTTTTATATATATTTATAAATAAAAAATGTCATCTCTAATGTAGTTGTTTTTCTTTTGATTTTAGAGTGTGTTGATATCAATATAACTCCAGACAAAAGGCAAATTTTACTGCAGGAAGAGAAATTTCTATTAGCAATTTTAAAAACTTCTCTGATAGAGATGTTTCGTAGCGATGTTAACAAACTGAATGTCAATCAGAAACTTCCGGACGTTGCAGGTAGGACTAATGCCAAATGTGAACATTTTTTTTTTTTGTATGGTATATGCTAGAGAATTGAGAATGGAAACGTGTGTTTTAACAGCCAGATATTTCTGTAATTTCTTAATGTGTTTTTAATTGACACATCTGTCAGGGCAAATTTCTCATATGTTGCTTACATTCTGGCTGTAATGTTGTTGTTAGCATTAAATAATGATAGAGGATCCTAATCTATTAAGTGATTTACAGTCGAATTTAGGGGGAAAAGTTAAAAACAAAATTAATTGATAATGTTTGGAAAAGAGATTCTTCCCAAGATTTTGGGAAAAGATTTGTGTTTCAGAGGAGGGGATGGGGAGATGTATACAGTATTCTTTCCCTCCTGTTGCTGTGTTCTGTTTTTAGCCATAGAAGTATCTGGAATGTCATACTTTTTTCTTTCTTTCCTTTTTTTAAGGACATCCTTTTAAATGCGGTGGAGGATGTCAGGATGCTTACTAAGAGCTCATGAGCTGACTTTAAAAAGCTAGGGTGAGGAATATTGGACAGGAACAACGTTTATTTAAATATCCTTCTGGCAGAATGGATAAAGTCTCATTAACAGAACAAATAAAACTTCAGATTTTTAAGTACAAATCTTTTCTTTTTTAAGATGCATTGCTTTATGCTAACTACAGAAATCACCGATTCTCGCATCAGTGTATTATTTTCCAAGATCTAGATAATACTTTGTAATGACACATCATCCTCATCCTGCTTTTCTTTAAACAAAAGTTTCTCTAGTTTCCTCTTTTACTGATGATGTATAAAATCAGGTGCAGCCTGATTCTTACTATTATTTTAAGTTTGCCTGTAGTAAAATTAAGTGTTGTGATTTGTGGATAATTTGGCAACTTCGTTTGCCGACTGTCAATCCATGTATCTGTTGTTCTAACTGTTTGATTCCTTTCCAATGGACTTTTACAGTGACCATTAAAGCGTAACAGCAATTCACCTTTCTTTGTCGTTCCGTCGTTAAGCTCTTTTGAAATTATCATTAAGGGTTCTGGTTGGGTTTATCGCTGTTCCAATTTAAAATGAGACTTCAAATTCATTCACACAAATACCATAAAGATAATAACAACTTTGGTAGTTTTAGTTGCTGAGAAACTACTTGCCTATTTGACAGTAGAAACTGATTTTTTGTTGTTGTTTTTTTGTTGCTTTACTTTCTTAAAGATGTAACTGCTTATCCAGATAGTAATGTATTTCAGTCCCACGCTTAGTTGTGGTCTGAAGCTTAAGGGTTCATTTGAGGAGTTGATTATTTTTCTACACCTCCTTTTGTTCCATTCACAAAAACGCATCATACAGTTCTTCCCTCCCCACCCCTGACAGTTATGCTTAAGTTAAAATCTTAAAATATCCTTTATTCTGTTTTTATTAGGCAACTTGAAGAGGACTCTTCCTGAAGAGCTAGAAAGCCCTCAGGTAGAAATACTGCCTGACTCTGAAACTCAAAATCCAAGCAGTGAAGGAAACAAAATAACGACTCTAGCCAGATTAAGGGAGTCATTCTCTCTCCATCAAATGACAGAGAGTAATTTTCGAAGCCCTAAAAAGGTAAAACAGCAGCACAGCTCCCCCAGACGACTTCTGTCATTTGATACCACTTTGAGTCCTGTACACACTCAAAAGGCTGTCCTGAGTGAGGAGTCTGAGAGTTGTTGTGAAATGGAGTCAAAGATGTCAATTACAAGCAGGTATCTGAGAAAATTAGAAGATAATACAGATTCTGGATTCTGTAGTACCTCTGCTGAGTCAGATGTTGGGTATAGTACACCAGAAGTTGGGAGCTGCATCAGCAGTGAAAGAATAACTAATTCTCCTGAAGAAGAATTCTGTAACTCAAAAGAGGAACTTCAAAACCAATGTCTTAAAACTGCTGGACAGAGTGAGAAGTCATTGGAATGTGATGTTCAGTTCTTGGGCACTGTGCGTGAGTTAAACCAAGTGAATGACTGGAATAATCCAGATAAGTTATCTCAAATCGCCAGTAGCTCTTCCCCAAGCAAAAAGTGTTTTAAAAGCGAAGCAGGTGATTTAAAGGCAAATAGATGTCCTGAAGTGAAGAAGACTAAGAACTATGTGGCAAGCGTTGATGTATTAGTAGAAGTTAAAAAGAAGACTGTACCGCTTGAATTCTCTATGAAGGTTTTAGCAGAAAATGTAAAAAAGGTAATACAGCAGCAACAGAAAAGGACAGAAACACGGAATTATAGAAGATTTAAAGCAAAAATTAGTCCTGGAGAAAATAAAGTAGCAGAAGATGAATTAAGAAAAGAGATCAGGTATTTTCACCTTCTTAACTTGTTATTATAATAACAACCAATTACTAAAAATAGTTGAGGAAAAATACAAGAACTGTCTTGATGTGGGTGAGGAGAGGCTTACATCTACTTGTTAATTTTGGAGACATCTTTTATGTAACATACACCTTTAAGCCATCATTTTGGCACGCTCTTTCACCTGACAGAGGTCTGCAGCTGTTTGAACTAAATGCAAACAGAGTGTGAAAAAAGACAATAAAAAGAAGGCCCCAGACATCATAGATTTGTTTTAGTTAACACTTATAATATGCTGTGTGGTCAGAGAAATAAGAAATTTGTGATAGAATGTATTCAGCGTGTTCTTATCTATAATTTGTATTTCTCCCTTGTGTGAAATTGAAATTTGGTGAGGTGTGGCTGTGAAAATACGTTCCATTCAGATGGTCAGTGGACACTAAAGGTGTATGACTCATGAATGTTGCTAATAAATGAGTGCTATGAAAGCTGCCTTTTTGCAAAAGAAAGCGTGTCAGCTGCCTTAATTTAAAACCATGATGTTGCCTTCAGTGTTATTCATTTGGACTGTCGCTGTGTTGCCCGTTCCTAATCTTATCATCACCAGTGGCTGTGTGAAAAATGAGAGAATGCTGAGCACGTCCTGTCTTTACGATGGGTTCTGTTCAGTCAGAAATGGTATCAGCAGTGATCTGGAATCTGGTGTTGACTGTTCTTTTTCATGTTCGTATCCTGGTATAAGGAGTGTGGGGTTTTTTTTTTGTTTTTTTTTTTTTGTTTTTTTCTTGTATACGACGTGTTCTCAGCAGGGGGGGAGAAAGATATTTTCAAGTTTTACACTGTCTAATGTGGTAACTCATGAGGTGTAACTTGTAATCTGTTTATATCTTCTATATACAGTAAAGAAATGTTTGCAAAAATGGAAATCATTGGCCAGTTCAATTTAGGGTTTATAATAGCAAAGTTGAATTCTGATCTTTTCATAATCGACCAACACGCTACTGATGAGAAATACAACTTTGAGATGTTACAACAACACACTGTCCTCCAAGGTCAGAAGCTGATTGTGTAAGTATTTTCAGTGAGTCAGCAATAATAACTTCTTGAGTTTAATTCAGTGTTTTAGAAAGTTATTTATGGTTATGTAGCGCTTCACACATTCAAAACACTTAAATATAAAAATCTTTTAGGCCTTGTACATAATTTAAGAGTCAACCTTCACATGGTAAGTCAAAGATAAATTACAATTATAGATATGCAAGAAGTCAGTCATCGACCACTGCATGTTGGGGTTTTTATGTTACTCTGCAATTTGTTAAGCGTGGAAAAATACAGTTTGGAGACCAACTAATATAGGTTGGAGATAGCTGTGGCAGCAGGGAGTGCTGTTAACTCTGCTAAGTATCACTTAGAAGCCAGGTGATTTGTTTAGTAGTGAGTGTTTGTTTGTTTGTTTGTTTGTTTGTTTTTTTACAGTGAATGAAGTGAAACGTTCCCACAGAAAGCTCTGTATTCCTGTCAGATTGTTTCTGATACCTAGCTTAAGTGGTCTGTAATATGTACCTGTGCAATACCATATTTTTTTTCTTCCCTCTTTTAGGCCTCAGAATCTTAATTTAACTGCTGTAAATGAAACTGTATTGATTGAAAACCTGGAAATATTCAGAAAAAATGGATTTGATTTTTTCATAAATGAAAATGGTGAGTTTGGACTAGAACTACTGGAAGTAAGAAAGTCCGTAGATTTTTTTTTCTCCTCTTTCTTATGTAAAAGATCCTTATGGTAGTTCCCAGAAACTTTGAAATAATATGCATTAATATAGTATGTAAACTTAAGTGAACTAAGATTTTGTGACCTGTTACACTATTAACAGAGCATTGTAGAGTTGAATGTTTATCTCTTAAACCGATTTGATTAAATAAGTTGATGTAGGCTGTTTGGAGTCACTATATGGCTCAATAGTATTTTCGGGATACATTACGTTAAAATCCTTTTGTATTAGTAAAATACGTGCTGGTCTCAACAGGGTTAGATGTAGGCAAATGATAAATCTAGTAATTTTAAACTAATAGACAATATAAAGAAAGCTGAAGGACGTTATTTAATGACTTTAGCATTGACTTGCTGTGTACTCTTGAGCAAATTGCATAACCAGAAAGCTCCTCATTGTGTCTCGTATAAAGCAAGAATAATACTTGTTTAACCCACAGAGCTTTGTAGGAAAGGATTGTGGAAGCAGTGTGTTATCACTTTGACATTTGGGAAGTCACTATGGATTTTTCCACATTACGTTTTAATTTCAGAATCTTTACTTTTAATAACATTTTAGGTTAAAACAAAACAAAAAAAAAGTGTTAAGCTCTTAACAACAAAGAATTCCTAATTATTTTGTAGTCAGCGTATAACCTCAAAATATCTTCAGCTCTTTGAAACGGAACAGTTTGAAAGTTAGATCAATCTGCTTTTCAGTTTGCAAGTAATTCCTTGTTAATGTTGTTAGAAACAAGTGGATATTTGCTACAGTTAATGTTTTGGTTAGCTTATAGCTTCCGTCACAAGACAGTAAATGTGATCTGTACACATGCTAAGATTTAGTTAATATAATGTATCAAAGTAGTTTCTCAAGTCTCTCCAGACAGAAGGTTATTTCTTACGGTCCTCTGTTTACTAAACTTTCAGCTCCTGTAACTCAAAGAGTTAAATTGATTTCCTTGCCAACAAGCAAAAACTGGACTTTTGGTCCACAAGACATAGATGAACTGATTTTCATGTTAAGTGACTGCCCTGGAGTCATGTGTAGGCCCTCTAGGGTCAGACAGATGTTTGCTTCTCGAGCTTGCAGAAAGTCGGTAAGTACTGTGCTGGATGTTTCTTTTCAAATAAATACAGTCTATTCCATGGAACTATTTATGTTGTTGTATCTGTAAATACATATTGCAGGGGAAATGTCTTCACCGCTAGGTATCGGCATCTAACCTCCTTCATGTTCCTTATATTTTTGCCTAATGTAAATTGGGAAGCATTTCTGTTAGTTTGAAACAAATACGACAAAAACTAGTGCGCTTACAAACATAGCTATTTGTATTTTGTCTTCTGATCATGTTATAGGTCTTTCTATTTTCAGTGCATTGCACATTACTTATTGGCTGTTGTACTTGCTATGCAACAGATGTCAAAATGGGGAAAGAAAGTAATCACTGGATTTTTTCTGTCTTTATTTGCAGGTGATGATTGGAACTGCACTGAATAAGCAGGAGATGAGGAAGCTGGTCACCCATATGGGCGAGATTGAACATCCCTGGAACTGCCCCCATGGAAGGCCTACAATGAGACACGTAGCCAGTTTAGATTTGATTTCACCAGAATAACAGTCAGTTTATGCTTATTAGCACTTCCAGTTTTAATTGCTTGGCGATACTTTGAGATTTTTATCATGACTGTCTTATAATGACCAAAAAATTTTAGCCACTGTTTTTTGTATTTGAAGATGGTAACAGTTGAAAGCATTCAGCAAGCTTTCACTGTTACTTCTATCAAGCCAACAATCTGAACTTACTGGAATTTTTGTAAATAACATTTCTTTTATTGCAGTTTGCCTTGTGTATTACTTATTTTGCAATCAAGCTATTTTTAAAATAAATCTTTGTATATAAAAGATCAAGACTAGGTACACCTCATTTGTAGTAAATGCCCTGAATTCCTAAGTGAAATGTAAATGTGAAAAGTCTTCAGTGCTGCCATAAAGCAGACATTAACTTTCTGTGGCTATACAGCCTGTATGCGATCTTTCTGAAGAAAGCGTAAATTGTATAGAAGTGACAATACTGATTTATCTCTTATTACTAAAGCTGAATTTTATTTCTCAATTACTTCAAGCACTAATACTGCATTTAATGATTAACTCATTGCCATCTCTTTTTAATGCATGGAGTGAACAGAATAATTTATCTGACGTGATTACTTCGTCACTAGCATTGTTCCCATCCCTTTCTAAGAGCTGGGCTTCCTTCTCTGAGAATGAGCGGGGAAAGCCCTCCCAGCCGCCCTGCCGGGCAGGCAGCGCCAAAGGTCAGGCCAGAGCCTATTGCGGTACCAGCAAGGGCCTTAGACGTTTGTCTTT